TTCTGGGCTGTGAGTGGCAGGGAGGGGAGGCCACAGCTCTCCCACCTCGTCCTGCTGACATATCGACGGAACAGACACTGTCTAAACCCCGAGGAAGCTTCCATCTGAGAGGGTGGATGTGGGGGCTGGTGAGCTTGCTCTTTCATCCTGCCACACACGGACCCTCAAACGTGTACAGAGAGCTCATTCCTACACGCGAAGGACAAATGGCACTAACAAACGCACCCCAGGATTCTGAGGTCCCCAGTAACCGTCCCGTCCAGCACAACTAATGAAAAACATTCGAGCCTGGCTCAGTGGTTGAACGTCCACCTAGGAACCAGGAGGTCACAGTTCGAAGAGGAAGTCATACTTAACCTTTGGGATGAGAAGGGCTGGGTGAGGAGAGCCAGCAGCCACGGACCGCGGGGATGCAGACCCTCATGTGGTTACCATGGGGACAGGCCTCAAACGACATACAATTTTGATTGTCCTTCTGTTCTGAACTGTGGGGTTTTTTTTCCCACGTCGCTGCTTAAATTCTTCAGAGATTTAATAGTTTCTTTTCTATTTTAAGTGGAATTGAGGTCCAAAGCCTGTTCGCTTTCTATCTCTCTCCCCTCTTCACACTCTGGTCATAAGTTTTCAATGGGGTACAAGAAATTGTCCTTCTGTTCTGAACTGTGGGGTTTTTTCCCACGTCGCTGCTTAAATTCTTCGGAGATTTAATACTTTCTTTTCTATTTTAAGTGGAATTGAGGTCGAAAGCCTGTTCGCTTTCTATCTCTCTCCACTCTTCACACTCTGGTCATAAGCTTTCAATGGGGTACAAGAACACTTCAATGACCGACATATGAATGAAAATACCAGCTACAACGTCACCCCAATAAATTTAATAAAATAAGAGATTCTGAGGTGAATGAGAAAGTGGGATCCAAACTGATATAAAAATACTGCTGATATAAAAATATTCAGACTCAGTGGTAAGCCTTTGAGGGGTGTATTTTACAGAAAGTCAATGTCTGTTTATTAAGACCATTTCTGACAGACTCATCTCATCAGTTCAGAGGTATTGCTAGTAACAATATTAAGAAAAAGAGCAATGCTAATGAGAGACAAAGTAAAGATTTAGCATGTATTCAAACGTCATTTCTCTGGATAATAGGAGTAAGCGTTAGGAAATTTATCAAAGCGACTGTCATTTTACCCCCTCTGGCACTTCCCAGATGGAAGATACTTAGGTCTTAGACGTCCTTCTGCCTCCATCCCCAGCAAATGTTATCTCCACTCTTCAGTGCCAATGGTGGGGGAGGGTGTATATTCACCAAAGACAAACTTCACGCTCTGATCTAGGCATTATTTACAGACACAACTAACTAGAATGAAAACACTCAGTGAAGAGTAAGTTAAAGATCCAGACTCCCCGGGAACAGGACATCAAAATGAAATCCACCTGACTCCATTCAGATGGCGCCAGCAGGGCCAACCACGGCGACTGCTCGCTGGCATGTCCTAGCGCAGCACAGGTGGCCAGCCGACTGGTGCGTGCTGGCAGAACGACTGGTTGCTATGACGAGAACTGGCCACCAGGGGACAGACGCTCAACACAGGAGCTGCCCCCTGGTGGTCCGTGCACTCCCACAGGGGGAGCACCGCTCAGCCAGAAGCCGGGATCATGGCTGGCGGGCACAGGGGCGGTGGCGGGAGTCTCTCCCACCTCCAGGAGGTCTTAGACGTCCTTCTGCCTCCATCCCCAGGAAATTTTATCTCCACTCTTCAGTGCCAATTGAAGGGGGTTGGGGGGGCGTGTATATTCACCAAAGACAAACTTCACGCTCTGATCTAGGCATTATTTACAGACACAACTAACTAGAATGAAAACACTCAGTGAAGAGTAAGTTAAAGATCCAGACTCCCCGGGAACAGGACATCAAAATGAAATCCACCTGACTCCATTCAGATGGCGCCAGCAGGGCCAACCACGGCGACTGCTCGCTGGCATGTCCTAGCGCAGCACAGGTGGCCGGCCCACGGGGACAGGTGTACGCTGGCAGAACGACTGGTTGCTATGATGAGCACTGACCACCAGGGGGCAGACGCTCAACACAGGAGCTGCCCCCTGGTTGTCTGT